GGATGTTGATAAACACGTAGGGGGTTGATGAAACAGCAGAGTAAGTTGTCCGTGCGCTCCATTTGTCTTATCCACGACGTGCCTTCCCGAGAACAAAACAATCTGCCCGTGTCTGTCGCACACACACACACCCATCTCTCACCCCTCACCCACCCCCTAGGATGTGCGTTCATCCCCAGGTGAAGAAACCATTGCCCCGAGGTGATATCGAGAATCACCGCGCATGCCCTGCCATTGGAAGTCGAGCTTTTTTTAAACAACACATTCCTGCTGCGGAGGGAGCTGGTAGGAACGTGGGTTGCTCGGTCAATGGCCAGGGTCAACGGCGGCGTGGTGTATTCTGCAAATATGCTCGACTGTGAGGGCGGGCACAAGCCGGCGTGAGTAGGTTAAACGTTGAGTTCTATAAGGGCACCACGGGGTGACCAGCCCCTCCCCACCCAGCCCCACCCTCCCCACCCAGCCCCTCCCCACCCTCCCCCCCCAGCCCCTCCCCTCCCCCCCCTCCCCACCCTCCCCTCCCCACCCAGCCCCTCCCCACCCTCCCCACCCAGCCCCACCCCTCCCACCCCCACTAGCCCCACCCTCCCCACCCTCCCCACCCAGCCCCTCCCCACCCTCCCCACCCCACCCAGCCCCATCCTCCCCTCCCCACCCCAACCAGTCCCTCCCAACCCTCCCCTCCCCACCCAGCCCCACCCTCCCCTCCCCACCCAGCCCCTCCCCACCCAGCCCCTCCCTGCACGACGGACGGACGGACACAACAATCCCCTGTGGGCTGGTGTAACCAGGAGGTTCCTACCGGTAAGAATCAACATCTATGTTTCTTGTTCTCTTCCCGTGTCCAGTACGTCAGTGTTACTGACAACCGCGTCGAGTGGCTCGTTTGTTATTCCGTGCTTTTGTGCGCCCATTGCCAACGGAGCAAACAACGTCATCATCATCATCAGCAGCAGCAGCGGCGTCATCATCGTTTCAACACAACGTTTGTTGGCTCACGCCCAGCGCAATCAGCTGATCGCCGAGTATAGAAGTCAGTAGCAGCAGCAGAGGCTGAGTCACGAGAGAATTCCTTGACGTTACCTCTACCCCGAGGCAACATTTGCTTAAGGGGCCGTCCATAAATGACGTCACGCAACTTTAAATAAATATAGACAACACGTTCTCCTACAACATCAGAGTGCAGCGCCACATTAAATACGCACTACAATGACGATTTTTGAGAGCGTTAAACAGCGAATCAAGTTAAAGCGAAAACCATTGCTTCTATCTTTGATTGTTTTTGAGATATTTCCGATGAAAGCGAACATTTTTTTTTCGAATTTTACGATGTTCAAATCTGAATAATTCGAATGCGGTAAAAGATAAGAGAGCTTCCCCTCGGAGACTAGTAAGTTAATATGTTATTGTTCTAATAAAAAAAAATTACGAAATCTTCTAAAGGAGCGGTTTCTGATGGGCACGTCTCTAACTATAACAAAGTCGATTCAAGTCAACTATTTTTTTTTGCGGAAAAATACAAATTGTTAGGAGTTGTTGTTAATGTCTGACCGTAGATACAAATTGCGTGTTTTTTTTTTAAACACATCAGGTTAATGATTATATTTATTGGCAACTTTTGCCTGGCGAAGACAGACTTTACGAACGTGTTGAATGACAATAAGTAAGTGGTAGATTTAAAGCTTCTGTCGTGACTGCCGGGATTCATATTCTTGGTTCTTTCGGTAAAGTCACGTAGAAGGGAAATCAAAAAATAAAAATATATATAAAACAATACAAATTCTCACGACGTTTCGACTGCAACACAAGCAATCAGCATCACCTGATGATCATCACCTCATTATGATTGCTTGTGTTGCGTGTCTCTCTCTCATCATCACGGTGGCTAGGAGATGTTAACTACCTCGCCTGGTGTACAGGAGGTCGTGGGTTCGATCCCGACCCTGACGCCTGCTGCTGTATATTTGGAGTTTGTGTCTCTCTCTCTCTCATCATCATCACGGTGGCTAGGAGATGTTAACTACCTCGCCTGGTGTACAGGAGGTCGTGGGTTCGATCCCGACCCTGACATCTGCTGTATATTTGGAGTTTGTGTGTCTCTCTCTCATCATCATCACGATGGCTAGGAGATGATAACCACCTCGCCTGGTATACAGTAGGTCGTGGGTTCGATCCCGACTCTGACGCCTGCTGCTGTATATTTGGAGTTTGCGTGTCTCTCTCTCATCATTATCAGGGTGGCTAGGAGATGTTAACCACCTCGCCCGGTATACAGGAGGTCGTGGGTTTGATCCCGACACTGACATCTGCTGTATATTTGGAGTTTGCGTGTCTCTCTCATCATTATCAGGGTGGCTAGGAGATGTTAACCACCTCGCCTGGTGTACAGGAGGTCGTGGGTTCGATCCCAACCCTGACGCCTGCTGTATATTTGGAGTTTGCGTGTCTCTCTCTTCCCGTGGTCGCGTGGATTTTTCTCCGGGTCCTCCAGTTTTTCCCCTCCATATTTAGAATCGACATCACATAAATTGAGAGTTTTTGGCTACCGGTATAAATTTCCACACAGTGATCATCCACATCGGTGAGCCATCATTTGTGGCCAAGTCGCTGCTGAAAAGGAGCTAAATAGCTCAGTGGACCGTACCTGGTAAAATAAAACGTTGAGATTAGTAACAGGCGTCAGGGTCGGGAACGAACCCATGACCTCCTGCACATCAGGCAAGGTAGTTAACATCTCTTAGCCACCGTGATGATGATGAGAGAGAGACACGCAGATTCCGAATATACAGCAGGCGTCAGGGTCGGGATCGAACCCACGACCTCCTGTATACCAGGCGAGGTAGTCAACATCTCGCAAGTGTGATGATGATGATGAGAGACACACAAACTCCAAATATACAGCAGATGTCAGGGTCGGGATCGAACCCAGGACCTCCTGTACACCAGGCGAGGTAGTTAACATCTCCTAGCCACCGTGACGCCTATATATTTTAATTCATCCACGCCCTCTCTCTCTCTTTATCTCTCCCGTTCATGTTTTCGTTCTCTTACGAATGCAATTTAAAGATACAAAAACAGATAGCTACATTCTTTGACAATGACGATATCATTCCATTAAAACAAAGACAAAGATCCCCAGTGTAGCCTTCGACAGACTGTAGGGGCAAGTGCTGTTAGCGAGCAGCACCTATGAAGGCCGGCACGGCACACGAGGGGGTGGGTGGGTGGTCAGTAACCACCACGCCCGGTCGCCTTTGTCTCCCCCAGTGGCGATGTTTTACACACCGCACCAGGTACTCATTTTACGGCTGAGTCGACCTAGGGGAGAGGCCCAGGACCGGTTCAGATAATCGTCACCGGTGTTGGCCGTGAGCGGGAATCGAACCCGTGTCGCCGGGCTCGTAGCGCAGCGCGCTAACCACTGCACCACCGCTCCCCACATTCTTTGACATTGACGACATCATTCCACTAAAACAAACACAAAGATCCCCCGGATAGCCTTCGACAGACTGTAGGGGCAAGTGCTGTTAGCCAGTAGCACTGTGGCACACGAGGGGGTGGGTGGGGTGGTCAACAACCACCACGCCCGGCCGCCTTTGTCTCCCTACAGTGGCGATGTTGACTCGGCACCGCACCAGGCAACTCATTTGAGGCTGAGTCGACCTAGGCGCAGCGCTAACCTCTACCGCTCCCCGCATTCTTTGACAATGACGTCAGCATTACACAAAAACCAACACAAAGATTCCCCGCATCGCCTTGAACACCTACAACCCCCCCCCCACTCCTTCGGATTCATTTGCCCCTTAAACTGCAAAGAGTGCCGTCCATAAATGACGTCACGCGATTTTGGACGAGTTTTGACCCCCCCCCCTCCCCCCCTTCGTCACACGGCGTCACAAAAAGTCAGACCCCCCCTCCTCAAATATGACGTCACAAAGCTCTGCCCCCCCCCCAAAAAAAATATAAAACTTGCTTCAAATCGCTTTAAACTATTGTCATTGTAGTGCGTATTTAATGTGCCGCTGCACTCTGATGTTGTAGGAGAAAACATTTATTACAAAGTCTATTTAATTAAGTAGAACGTGTCGTCTGTATTTATTTGAAGTTGCGCATTTTGATGTGACGTCACATTTCTCAACCCCTCCCCCCTCGTCACACATCGTCACAAATGTCTGACCCCCCCCCCCCCTCAGGTACGTGACGTCATTTAGGGACGGCCCCAAGCTAGTGATTTCCCCTCTCTCCCCCTTCAGAATCAGACTCTTTCATTGTCATCATCACGTTTTAATTTTGCGTCCCGATTAGGGGCCGTCCATAAATGACGTCACGCACCTATTGGGGTGGGGGGGGGGGTCAGACATTTGTGACGATGTGTGACGAGGGGGGGGGGGGGGAAATGTGACGTCACATCAAAATTCGCAACTTTAAATAAATATAGACAACACGTTCTACTTAATTAAATAGACTTTGTAATAAATGTTTTCTCCTACATCATCAGAGTGCAGCGCCACATTAAATACGCACTACAATGACAATAGTTTAAAGCGATTTGAAGCATGTTTTATTTTGGGGGGGGGGGTGGGGCAGAGCTTTGTGACGTCATATTTGAGGGGGGGGGGGGTCAAAAATCGTCCAAAATCGTGTGACGTCATTTATGGACGGCCCCCTTATCTGACGAGACAACGCGAGAACGATTTGCCAGCCCCTTGGGCTTTCATAGCCGACGGTTCACAACCCCGGGATCTTGTGTTCATTTATCGCGGAGAAATCCGATAATCTGTGAAGCTCTTCATGTCCAGTTCACCAGCATTAAGTCAAGCGCGCCTGATGATGATGATGATCATTATTATTGCTACCGCCGCTACGATATCACAGTCCTACGGTACAGTGTAAAACAAAACAGCAACGCGACACCCCTAAACACGAAACATCAGAGGACACGCGGTCCGATCCGGACCAGAAATTGCCCCTCCAACCGCTTATCTTTTCTGTGATCTCAGTCCCTTCAGCCTGGCTGTTGTGTGATGCGGGTGGCGGCGGTGGTGGTCGCGGTGGTGGTGGCGGTGGAGCTCAGCCAAGGTCAAACAGACCTCGCCAAGGTCAAACGGAACTCCCCCAAAGTCAAACGAACACCGCCAAAGTCAAAGGGAACACCACCGAGGTCAAACGGAACACCACCAAGGTCAAACGAACACCGCCAAGGTCAAACGAACCCCGCCAAGGTCAAACGGAACACCGCCAAAGTCAAACGGAACACCGCCAAGGTCAAACGGAACACCGCCAAGGTCAAACGGAACACCGCCGAGGTCAAGCGGAACCCCGCCAAGGTCAAACGGAACACCACCAAGGTCAAACGGAACACCACCAAGGTCAAACGGAACACCGCCAAGGTCAAACGGAACACCGCCGAGGTCAAACGGAACCCCGCCGAGGTCAAACGGAACCCCGCCAAGGTCAAACGGAACACTACCAAAGTCAAACGGAACACCACCAAAGTCAAACGGAACACCACCAAAGTCAAACGGAACACCACCAAGGTCAAACGGAACACCACCAAAGTCAAACGGAACACCACCAAAGTCAAACGGAACACCACCAAAGTCAAACGGAACACCGCCAAGGTCAAACGGAACACCACCAAGGTCAAACGGAACACCACCAAAGTCAAACGGAACACCACCAAAGTCAAACGGAACACCACCAAGGTCAACGGAACACCACCAAAGTCAAACGGAACACCACCAAAGTCAAACGGAACACCACCAAAGTCAAACGGAACACCACCAAAGTCAAACGGAACACCACCAAGGTCAAACGGAACACCACCAAGGTCAAAAGGAACACCGCCAAGGTCAAACGGAACACCACCAAGGTCAAACGGAACACCGCCGAGGTCAAACGGAACACCACCAAGGTCAAACGGAACACCACCAAGGTCAAACAGAACACCACCAAAGTGAAACGGAACACCACCAAGGTCAAACGGAACACCACCAAGGTCAAACGGAACCTTGACAGGTTCAAACGGAACACCGCCAAGGTCAAATGGAACACCACCAAGGTCAAAAGGAACACCACCAAGGTCAAACGGAACACCACCAAAGTCAAACGGAACACCACCAAAGTCAAACGGAACACCACCAAGGTCAAACGGAACACCACCAAGGTCAAACGGAACACTACCGAGGTCAAAAGGAACACCACCAAGGTCAAACGAACACCACCAAGGTCAAATGGAACACCACCAAGGTCAAACGGAACACCACTGAGGTCAAACGGAACCCCGGCAAGGTCAAACGGAACCCCGCTAAGGTGAAACGGAACCTCGCTAGGGTCAACGGAACACCACCAAGGTGAAACGGACCACCAAGGTCAAACGGAACCTTGACAGGTTCAAACGGAACACCGCCAAGGTCAAACGAACACCACCAAGGTCAAACGAAACACCACCAAGAAGTAGCAGGTGGTGACGGCTTTTGGCTCACCATCGAACAAAGACTGCGGTTGACCCCCCAGGTTTTAGATGAGTGGGGGGGGGGGGGGCTGCTACTGCGATTGGCCGTCTGGAACGCGCTCTTCCTGCCGACATCAGGAAGCCACTGGGTGCTGTGCACTTTTACATCCACACTGAGCGTTCGTTTCTTTAGAAGAGAGAGTGTGTATGTGTGTGTGTATGTGTGTGTGTGTGGTCGTATAGCGGGTAGGGGGCCGGCCATAAATGACGTCACGCACCTGGGAGGGGGGAGGGTCAGGCATTTGTGACGATGTGTGACGAAGGGGGGGGGGGGGGGTGAGAAATGTGACGTCACATCATAATGGGCAACTTTAAATAAATATAGAATTGATATAACGACACTCTTACAACATCAGAGTGCAGCGCCACATTAAATACGCACTACGATGACAATAGTTTAAAGCGATTTGAAGCATGTTTTATATTTTTTTTTGGGGGGGGGGGTGAGAGCTTTGTGACGTCATATTTGAGGGGGGGGGGGTCTGACTTTTTGTGACGCCGTGTGACGAAGGGGGGAGAGGGGGGTCAAAAATCGTCCAAAATCGCGTGACGTCATTTATGGACGGCCCCAAGCGCGCTGCGCTACGAACCCGGCGACCCGAGTTCGATTCCCGCTCACGGCCAACACCACCGGTGACGATCATCTGAACCGCTCCTGGGCCTCCCCTAGGTCGACTCAGCCTCAAATGAGTACCTGGTGCGGTGTGTAGTAAACATCGCCACTGGGGAGACAAAGGCGGCCGGGCGTCGTGAATCCAAGTCCCGGGCGAAGCCGGGTAGTACAGCTTAGTACCAAATAATAAACGAAACTCGAACTTGAAAACTCGTGTGGGCCGACTTGCATATCAACCGTAAGAAGCACGTGGAGACCCACAGATGTCACGTGGGGATTTGTAAGGGATCGTAGGTTGCGGTGGAAAAAGACAGCGACGAACTGAACGCAACTCTTTAAAACAATAAAAAAAACTGTTCTAAAGAAATCAGTTTCCAATCTTCTACCCCCCCCCCCCCCTGGTGTTTGTGGCGTTCTCTTCGCGGGGCCGAACTCCGGTGAGGTTCTTCTTCTGCTTGGTTCTTTCGGTAAAGTCACGTAGAAGGGAAATAATAAAATAATAAAAATAAAACATAATAAAATTCTCACGACGTTTCGGCCGAGAAGATGAATCCCTGCAGCCACGAACGCTTTAAATCGAAACCCATCCAATGCGTTAGTGATTTTTAAAATATTTTAGGCAGGAAATTCGTTTTCAAATTTAGATTTTTATTCTGGAAAATGTGGTCCCACCCCCCAATGTTGACACCATGGCTACGGCTTTGCCGTGTCACACACAACAACTCCCCGAGGTTGAATCGCTGTAGGGTTTGCTCGCATTCACAAATTGAAGAGCCCATTCTCAAATACGGAGTGGGGGGTGGGGGAGGTTGTCATCGTCACAAGAGCGACTCACCGCCACGCCACTCCGGACGCAAATAATCTCCGGCTCATCGGTTGCTATCAACATCAGCCGTACACTGATACCAGCAGGCACACGCAGAGACACGTAGAGTCACACACAGAACCATAGACTCACACACAAAACCATAGACTCACATAGAGACACATAGAGTCACACACAGAACCATAGACTCACGCAGAGACACATCGAGTCACACACAGAACCATAGACTCACATAGAGACACATAGAGTCACACACAGAACCATAGACTCACATAGAGACACATAGAGTCACACACAGAACCATAGACTCACGCAGAGACACATCGAGTCACACACAGAACCATAGACTCACATAGAGACACATAGAGTCACACACAGAACCATAGACTCACATAGAGACACATAGAGTCACACACAGAACCATAGACTCGCATGGAGACCCATAGAGTCACACAGAGAACCATAGACTCACATAGAGACCCATAGACTCACACAGAGAACCATAGACTCACATAGAGACCCATAGACTCACACACAGAACCATAGACTCGCATGGAGACCCATAGAGTCACACAGAGAACCATAGACTCACATAGAGACCCATAGACTCACACAGAGAACCATAGACTCACATAGAGACACATAGAGTCACACACAGAACCATAGACTCACATAGAGACACATAGAGTCACACACAGAACCATAGACTCACGCAGAGACCCATAGTCTCACACAGAGACCCATAGAGTCACACAGAGACCCATAGACTCACATAGAGACCCATAGAGTCACACACAGAACCATAGACTCACACAGAGACCCATAGAGTCACACAAAGAACCATAGACTCACACAGAGACCCATAGAGTCACACACAGAACCATAGACTCACATAGAGACACATAGACTCACATAGAGACCCATAGATCACACAGAGACCCATAGACTCACACAGAGACCAATAGACTCGCATGGAGATCTATCGATTCACACATAGAGACCCATAGACTCACATAGAGACCCATCGACTCACATAGAGACCCATAGACTCACGCAGATACCCATAGAGTCACACAGAGACACATAGAGTCACACAGGGACCCATAGACTCACACAGAGACCCATAGACTCACACAGAGACCCATAGAGTCACATACAGAACCATAGACTCACATAGAGACCCATAGACTCACACAGAGACCCATAGTCTCACACAGAGAGGCACAGACTCACGCAGAGACCCATAGACTCACACAGAGAGACATAGACTCACACAGAGATATATCGATTCACATACAGAATCATAGGTTCTCACAGAGACCCATAGACTCGCATGGAGAGACATAGACTCACACAGAGACCCATAGACTCACACAGAGACCCATACACTCACACAGAGACCCACAGACTCACACAGAGACCCATAGACTCACACAGAGACCCATAGACTCACATAGAGACCCATAGACTCACACAGAGACCCATAGACTCACACAGAGACCCATAGACTCACACAGAGACCCATAGACTCACACAGAGACCCATAGACTCACACAGACCCATAGACTCACACAGAGACATAGACTCACACAGAGACCCATAGACTCACACAGACCCATAGACTCACACAGAGACCCATAGACTCACACAGAGACCCATAGACTCGCACAGAGACCCATAGACTCACATACAGAATCATAGGTTCTCACAGAGACCCATAGAGTCGAATTACAGCTGGTAAGATAAATAAATAGTTTAGTTTAGTTCACGAAAAAGAGATACTTAGCTCAGTGGGCCCTAACCGGTAAAATAAAAAACAAAGTCAATAAAAATGTAAAATTACGACGTTTCGATCACAACACACGATCGCTTGTGTTGTGATTTTATTTACTTTGATATTTTTTATATGTTTCTATCTACGCGACTTTACCGAAAGAACCAAGAAGATGAATCCCTGCAGTCACGAAAGCTTTAAATCGAAAAATAAAGAGTTGAATATTTTGAACATCATGAATCACGCGGTGAAGCGATGACGTCTCCGACAGCCAATCAGATCATTCCCCGTCGTTGCATCACGATGGTGGGGGGTGCGAGGGTGGGGGCGAGGGTGGGGAGAGGGTGGGGTGGTGAGAGTGGGGGGGGGATGATGAGAGGGTGAGGGGGGTCAGAAGGTGGGGGGGAGAGTGTGGGGGGGAGGGTGAGAGGGTGGGGGCTGTGATGAGAGGGTGATGAGAGTGTGGGGGGGGGGTGAGAGGGTGGGGGAGAGGGTGGGGGGAGGGTGGGGGGGGGTGAGAGGGTGGGGGGGATGATGAGAGGGTGAGGGGGGTCAGAGGGTGGGGAGTGTGGGGGGGTGAGAGGGTGGGGGCTGTGATGAGAGGGTGATGAGAGTGTGGGGGGGGGGGTGAGAGGGTGGGGGGGATGAGAGGTTGGGGGGGATGAGAGTGTGGGGGAGTGATTAGAGGGGGGGGGGATGAGAGGGGGGGGATGAGAGGGTGGGGGGGAGGGATGAGAGGGTGGGGGGGGTGAGAGGGTGGGGGGATGAGAGGGTGAGGGGGGTGAGAGGGTGAGGAGGGTGAGAGGGTGGGGGGTGAGAGTGTGGGGGGTGAGAGGGTGGGGGCTGTGATGAGAGGGGGTGAGAGGGTGGGGGTGATGAGAGGGTGAGGGGGGGTGAGAGGGTGAGGGGGGGTGAGAGGGTGAGGAGGGTGAGAGGGTGAGGGGTGAGAGTGTGGGGGGTGAGAGGGTGAGGGGGGGGTGAGAGGGTGAGGGGGGTGAGAGTGTGGGGGATGAGAGGGTGAGGAGGGTGAGAGGGTGGGGGCTGTGATGAGAGGGGGTGAGAGGGTGGGGTGATGAGAGGGTGAGGGGGGTGAGAGGGTGAGGGGGGGGTGAGAGGGTGAGGAGGGTGAGAGGGTGAGGGGTGAGAGTGTGGGGGGTGAGAGGGTGAGGGGGGGGGGTGAGAGGGTGAGGGGGGTGAGAGGGTGAGGAGGGTGAGAGGGTGAGGGGGGTGAGAGGGTGAGGAGGGTGAGAGGGTGAGGGGGGTGAGAGGGTGAGGGGGGTGAGAGTGT